TATATATATATATATATATATATATATATATATATATATATTATTAAGTACAAATAGTAGTTATTGTTAAAATTTAAGAGGTACACTTGATTTTGTTGTTTTGAGTTGTTTTTCCGACTTGTTTCAAGAAAATGTTACACGGGTTGTACAATTTTTAAGTAATATGTTTTCAGTCAGATCAAAGACAATCAAGTATAAACTAATTCTGGATGGAAATGATAGAGTTTACCTAGTTCCAAACATACCCAAGGACTGAATGTGTTTTACACAATTCGTGTAGTAAATAGCTCCTAAAACCAACCATCATTGTACCCCCAAAATCTTGTGTCCATTTAAACAGGAAAGTACTGATTTATAAGCACAAGGTACAAATCCGTATGCATGATTTATAAAACCAACTATCACTGCACCCCCAGACCCAGTCTATATTTGATAAAATCCCTGTCCACTATAATTCAAATGGGCAGTCCATCCCATTCTAACCACCTGAATGCCAAGATACCACCACCACCACCACCATCACCTGCCAATTCCAAAAAACAACAAAGCTGTACTTGGTGGTCGACGATGACCAACACAACACAACATCACTTCCAACAAGTACACCTATGACCTACCCATGTGAACCATTTCACCATGTCACAATATGGGTGTTGTAAACATATAATCCATATAGATTATGTGGGTCATATTCAACATCTTTTACTAGTGGTACCTTCTGCATCAACACTTGTACCTTCAAACATGGGCTCCACCCTTTTCTTTTTTCATAACGCTAGGGACAGGTTTGAGAGGGAAAGGGCTTATAGCATTTTTTAACGTGCAAATCTTCACACTATTGGAAGGAAGTAGTACACACTAACGTGGAAGAGGAAAGGTTCATAAACATGAACTGCTTCATCAAAACGTGGGACCCAATCTAATTAAATGATAGGGGTAGAAGGTTTATAAAATGTGTAAGATAGAGAATCATGAACAATTTTTTTAAACTGTTACGTTGCTATATCAGCATGGAAAACCGGTATAATGTCTACCACTTTTTGTGGGCTCGAAAGTGAGAGGTATATTTAAGTATATAACCTTAAATAATAAATGAATTCAACCGTTATTTTCTATTAATAATAATTTTTAATTTGAACCATATATCAATTCGTATTAAGGCTTATAAAATATGTTTATAAAATATGTAGAAAAAAAGAAAAAGAGTCGTGAACAGTGGAGATGCTCTAAGAAGAATAGCAAAAGGTGTAGCAGCATATGAGAGGAAATTGGGTGGCCGTCGTGGACTCCTTCACCACCCCATGGATACGATTGAGCATTTTCTTTTAGACGTTTGTTTTGTGTGTGGTTCTCTTTCCCCTTATCCCCTAAACCTTGGTTTATTTCAACAAAATAAACCAACCCCACTTGTTTCTATTTCAATGCATTACCCTCTTCCCTCCTCTGGGTCTATTTACTCATTCAAAACCCAAGAAATTAAAGGAAATATAAGCATACACATGGCAAATGGCCGCCTCCCCGACCACCAGAACTGGCCGAGACCGGGCTTGCTATATAGTGAAGCGCTTCGGGAGCTCCATGCAACCATTGAAAATGATTGGGACTCGGTTAAACAGTCGGCTTGCCAGACGGCAGCTGGGAGGGCACTTTGGAAGCATGTTGTACATGATCCATTGGCCGAGTTATTTGCAGGAGAAACGTACCTCAAAAGTCTTTACGAGAAGATCAAGAAAGACCGGCTCAACAATGCCAGGGAAGTTTCTGGGGTGATTCTTGCTGTTCGGACTCTTTGGTTCGAATCAAAGTTGGAGGCTGCTGTCAAGTCCTTTGGTGGAGGAGCTCAAGTTGTTCTTCTTGGTGCAGGTTGGTGATCGCTTCCATTCTCCTGCATTCTGGGGTTAATTTGTATCAATTGTGTTACAACTTCTAGTCTTGTTTCTAGTATGGCAATGACAAATATTGACCCAAAAAATGTGAACAAAAAGTTATTGGTTAAACAAGGGCCGTTTAACAAAAGCTTACCGGGTGCCTATTACCTTATCGGGTGAGCACCAAGAATTTTACCCAGTAAGAGGCATAGCAGGGACCTAGAATCTTATGCGGTAAATGACCGAGAAAATTTTTACCTGGTAAGCGATCGGTAGAGGATCAAGATTTTTTGGTGATCAGAATTTGAATTTATAAATTTTTGGGTTAAAAAAAGAAATAAAATTTATAATGTAAAATAAAATTTATAATGTAAAACAAAATTATGGGATCAATTGACCCCCAACTCATACAAGTAAATCCGCTAATGTTAGCGGCTACCGGGTAATAGATGTTTACCAACAATTCATTTTGATGGTCGAAAATGTTACCTAGTAAGGTAAGTGAGGGTGGTGATTCTTGCCGGTAAGCACTTAAGCGGTAAGCGTTTGGTAAACGGCCCCTAACACAAATTGGGTAAATGTTGACCCAGTAATAATATCACACTCAAAATTGTTGGTGAATATCATCATCTCAGACTCGTAAGCATCTCTTACCGGTAATCTCTAACCGGGTAAGACTCACCACCCTCGTTTAACAGGTAAGATTCTCTGTCAGCAAAATGGCAGTAAGATTGTTGGCAAAGACCATCATTTTTGACCGGGTAAGTGTCTCTTACCCAGCAAAGAACAATAATGAGCCGCTCACCAAATGCTAACCAGGTAAGCGTTTACCGCGTCACTTACCTTACCAGGTGAGCATGACAAACATCAAGAATCTTATCCGATAAGAGGCATGACAAGGATCGAAAATCTTACCGGTAAGTGAGGGTGGTGACTCTTACCCGGTCAGCCCTTACAAACAACCTTACTATACCATTTTGATGGCCAGGAATCTTACCTGGTAATGTAAGTGGTAGTGATAGACTCTTACCCAGTAAGCAGTTGCCAGGTTCATGTTTGGTGAACGGCTTAGTGTTTAGTTACCTGGTAAGATGTAAAGGCATTTAGTAAACAGCCCCAGATGAAGATAGAAATAAGAAACAAAAAGTTGAATCAAAATTAATAGAATAAAACACCAACACCAAAAAGGTAAAAGCTGAGAAATTAAGTTTTCTACCTGCAGGAATGGATACAAGGGCTTATCGGTTGGACTGCTTGAAAGATAGTGATGTTTATGAGATGGACTTTCCAGAGGTGTTGCAAATGAAGGACACGCTACTTGAGGCAGCAATGGAGTCGATAAACGAACCCATGTTAACCGCAAAATCCCTTAGAAGAATAGCAGTGGATATCAGAGATGAGGACTGGTTCAAGAAGCTTCAGGCATCAGGGTTCAAACCAGAGAAGAACACAGTGTGGATTCTTGAAGGCATTATCTATTATCTTGAGCATTCCCAAGCCATGGGGGTATTGAAAACAATTGCTGACAACTGCAACCTCACGGAGACCGTTTTGCTAGCAGATTTCATGAATAAACAATCAACTACACTCTCCAGCTCCAACTTTCATTTCTACAGTGATTGGCCTGATCATCTGCTTCCTTCTTTGGGGTTCTCTGATGTCAAGCTTTCACAAATCGGAGATCCAGATGCTGATTATGGTCTGTTGCACGATCCCCTTAATCTGTTTAACAAACTGCGAGGCTTGCCAAGGTCCATTCAGAACCATCCAGATGATGGAACTCCATGCTGTCGCTTGTATTTGGTGCAAGCTTCTGGTTCTCCCAACCAAACTATTTCAAGAGTCAGCTCTTCATGAGCATAGATATTTATCATACCACCAATTATATGTAGGTTTGTTGGCATCAATGTGATTCTTTAAAGAAGCAATAAGATGATAGCATTATCACAAGCAACAGAGAAGTGATGACATCAATGCTGGCATTTTCTTGAAATAATGAAAGCATCAAATTTAAGGGAGGTAAATTAAACAAACTTTTGCATGTATACAAATCTTTTAAATGCAAGGATCAGTTAAAGGAAATGCTAGAAACAAAATGGGAATGTACTAAATTGAAAAGGATGAATGTTGAATCCTTCGTAGTTAATGGGCTCAAAAACTATTAATAACCTTCAACAAGAATAAAGAAGGCAAACATGAACACCAAAAGGAACCATGGTTTGTTTAATTTGATTACATTTCTGCTCCCAATATTAGGCACAAATATTTAGATCCTGAGATCCATGGAAAACAGGGAGAAAGAGCTGTGAATGAATAAGACTTCATGAGACTGTCTTTGAGAGCCGTCTTGGATAAGAGTAATGAAAATTGTGTGAAAGGGAGAGACTTTGTAAAGATGTGAGCTACCTGACGTTGAGAACGAATTGGCATTAGCTTCAATAATCATGAAAGTATCTTTTCACAAAGAAATTAACAGTCAAATGTCAATATGTTCGGTTCTTTCATGAAAAATAGGATTGGAAGAAATATGAATCACAGCTTGATTGTCACAGTGTATCAAGGCAGGTGTGCCAATTTTGACTTGAAAATCCTTGAGAAGCTGGTGCAGTAAACAAGTTTACTAGTTGTTGATGCTAAGGCTCTGTATTCAGCTTCAGTTCAGGACCGAGAGACAGCAAATTGCCTTTTAGCCTTCCACAAATTTCATGAATAGAGACGAACCCCAATTAGCATTAGAAAAGGCTTATAAGTGAAATGGAACAGAAGCATCAGAGCATGCTCATAATCTGGTTTGGAAGATGAAGAAAACAATAATCCCTGTCCAGGATTACCTTTAAGATAGCAAAGTACGTGGTGTATGGCTTTGAGATTAGGTGTTCTAGGCTGTGCTATGGACTAAGTGAGCTTGTGCACTACAAATGTAATATCAGACCTAGGCAATGTTAGACAAAGAAGCATTTCCTAGACAATGTAAGATAAAGAAGTCTTTCCACTAGTTTATTGTAGAGTGTTGCATCAGCTAAAAGATCACCAGCTGTAATGGTTAAAGAAGCCTTTGGATCCATGGGGACTTTTACCCGTTTTCTCAAGTAACTGTAGGTATACCAACGTGAGACAATATAATCCCAATGTTAGACCTAGAAATATGAAGACTAAGAAAGTACTTCAGATTGCTCAAACCCTTTACTTTGAACTTGTTGTACAAGAACTGCTTTAGTTATGTAAAATAGCCTTAGCTGGACAGGAAATTACGATATCATCCGGGTAGGATAAATAATGAACCATGACCTTTGGTGAATAAGGAATAATCCGACTTGGATTGAACAATTGTGGAAGTGATGAGAGTTTGAGAGAACTTGAGACCATAATTGATTTGTTAAGTTTGCACACCAATTTTCCGTTCTCCCTGTCTGGGAAAACCGGGAGGTAAATCTATATACACATCTTCAAATTTATCACCATTTAGGAAAGCATTATTAACATCAATTTAAGCCAAGTGCCAAACTTTGAAGCAGCAAGTGCAAGGGGCAACAGGCGGCACATGGGACTCACACGCTGGTCAGACGACGGCTGTAGTCACTGGGTACGCTGACGAGGGTTGTCTGAGGCTGGTAGTGTTGGCTGTGAGATCGAATGATGGGTGATTAGGTTTCCCAAGGTGGTTAGCGGCGATCAGATTCAAAAAACCCTAAAAAGATCTCATACAATTGCTAGCTCTGATACCATGAAATCAATAGTGACTGTATTTCTCTTGATTCAATCTACATACAGAATACATATATTTATACATGGTTAAAAGAAATCAAATCTCTATAATTTCCTAATCTAAGTGATTTGATTTCCTTCTCTTGTTGATTCCATAACAATCGGAAAAATAAAGATCATGCCACACTCAAACAGGTGTTAGTGTTTTCGCTCAACCACTGAATTTTGTTGGGGTCGTTCCACAAAAGACAACTGATTTATATCACCTTTTTCTTGGAAAAAATCAGTAAATAACAACTCTTGTGCAATGTCTTAGCAAAATACCTTCATCTTTGCATCAAATTGAGTTGCTATCATATTGAAGAATCTTGGTGTAACATGGGTTGCAGAAAACTTATGTTTCAACAAATAAATCCATATGAATTTTGTGCAGTCATCAACAAGAGTCGAGAAGAGACGATACCCAGAGTGAGAGACAATTTGATATGGACCCCATATGTTACAATGCACAATATCAAAAGGCATCTTTTTGTAAGGGTGTCCGGGCCAAAGCCCGACTAATCCCCGGCAAATTTGGAGGCTAAACATGGCCTCACTTAAATGTCGCCAACACTCCTCTCCCAGGGTTCGAACTCGGGTTCATGACTATGCCATGCCCAAGCCTTTACCACTAGGCTAGAAGGTCTTTGACATCAAAAGGCATCTTTGATGGATGATTATTTGAAACAAAAGACAACCTTCTTTGTTTGGCAAGAGGACCAATGTAGCAGGGGCTTCCTCTACCAGAAATTTTATAATATAATTCGTCTTTAAGAGTAAAGAGTTCCTTAACAGAAGCATGCCTTACCCTATCATGCCAGGGGCAAGGAGTGATAAACCGATGATGTTGATGGAACCAACATAGAGTTATAGATCTTGTATCTCTTCATCCTTGAGGCCTTAACAATAATCTCCTTGGCTAATTGGTCCTGAATAACAACATAATCAAGAAGAAACATGGTTGTAAGATTTGACCCAATAGTCAGAGAATGGTCAGAAATCAAGTTAAACATGAAATCTGGAATGAACAAGGCATCCTTAAGCGTAAGATCATTGCTTATTTAACATCACCAGCATATTTTACCAAGATATGAGAATGATTTGGTAATATGATGGCCGTATGTCAAATTGAGTGCATAGAATCAAATAAACTTGCTTGTGAACACACATGTTGAGTTGCTCCTGAGTCAATAATCCAATGTAGTTTCGAAGAGAATATGGAATGTAAGTGCATAGAGAGACAAATACCCAAAACCTCATTTGGTTGAGAAGAATTTGCATCCTTGTCTGAGTTGCTTATCTGGGAGGAGACCATCTTCATAAACCATTGGTATTGGTTTGGGTTAATGAAGGTTTTTAACAAAGTCCTCAGATGTAACTTCAAGAACAGCAGCACTAATTTGACTGTTAAAATCTTGATTTGCATCCAGGAGGATACCCATACCGTTTATAACAACGATCCATAGTATGACCAGTCATATTGCAATCAGTGCAATAAGGCTTCTCGGTTCTTTGACTCTGGAAATTGTTGTTCATTATGATACCTTGTTCCTTGAGAAGTAGCAACTCCATATGGCTTTCCTGCATTCATCTGAAGAACAAAGGCTAAGTTATCACTTATCAGTCAATTTATTAGCTGGTTTTTCTTTGCTGTTCTTCTTGAACATTCAAGGAAAATACTTGATTGGTAGGAGACATCGGATCCATCAACAAGAATCGTCCTCTGATCTGTGAGAAGGAATCTTCAAGTCCCAAAAGAAATGGCATGGTGTATTTCATTTGATGGTGGTCATTAAGATTTTTAGCCCCTTCACAAGAACAAATAGGTAAGTAATTGCTTCATTCTTCCATATAGTCTTCAATTTTGTTAAATACTCACTGAACTCTGCTCTTGTCGAAGGTTCATTAGTTTAAATCTCAATTGAAAAATCGCAAGATCGTTCCTTTGTTGAAATCGGTCCTATAAATCCAACCAAATCTCTCTAGCAGATACGTTGTAGTACTGTAGACGAAGCTAGCAGAGATTTCTTTCAAAACAAAAACTAATATCCATGAAATTACGATATTATTGTTTTGAGTCCAAGAAATTAATATATTCACATCACCTTGAGGTTCTGTCAAAGAACCATCAACAAATCCAACTTTGGTCTTTACAGGTAATATGGGTTGGAAGGATCTGCATGATCTGAATCGCTCCCCGTTGATGACGATGTATTGTCCATTGCACGAGCAATCGGGATGAGGAAAAAGTAAATGAATTGAAGAAGGTATCACAGAATCAATCCTGCTATGACACCATCTTAGATCCTGAGATCCTAAACAGGGACGAAGAGCTGTGGATGAAGAAGACTTAATGAAAAGCAATTGTGTGTTCTCTACTCCCTTTACTCTTCCACTATTACATGCATCTAGTGAGTACAACACAACAGTAATTATAACAAAATAATAATGACTAACTCGTCTCCTAACTAACTCAAGTACTACCTGTCTAACTAATTTGCTGACTATATTACCTAATAAAAATATCCAGACCTCTTAGAGGACTGGGAGAATGTTCCCTGATAGGCAGAAAAATGCTGCAAGACTAGACATGTGGATCTTGTGGAAGAACGATTCCTGCTACACAAGCCACTGGAAGTCAATAGCCTAGTACATATAAAAAGACTATATCACCAATGCAGCTGGGTGAAACGATCAAGAACACAACACGTGACTTGATATTATAAAGCAAATGCAATCAATCCAACGAACAAAGAATGCAAGCAACTGTTCAGGTGTCTGCGGCCCTGTCTGTTTGTTACTTTAAGGACAAGATCATATTCTTTTTACACATAAGGATTCCAGATAGAAAAGATTCTCTTTCAACAAAAAATTAATTCATGATGTAGCTTTTGGAGTTGATATAAATCCAAAAGATTCACATTATGAAACAATTTAAACTCAAATTTCAAGACAATCTTTGACACCCTGCTCAAAATTGTTAAGGGAAGATATGGTATCCATGAGTGCATCTGCTACCTTCTGTCTGTTAGCAAAAAGAAGAAAAGATGTATGAGAGTCATGGCTCATGGGGTATTTGATAAATTTAATCATAGATACTTTTAAGCACTTTCAAAAACCATATTACACGTTAGATTTACCAAAAGGCTCTGTTTCGTGTTTCTGAAGGGATACCTGTTAGATAAAATCTGAGGGGCAGTTCCATTTGCCACGCTATTAAGAGAACTAAAAGACCTGCAATCAGAGAGAGTAACACGCTCTTTGGATTACTAAATTAATCAAAAAAACGGAAGAACAAATTTTGTAGGTGAAAAAGATGCTGGAACTTCAAGTCGAAATTTCAATTTCAGCAAGCACTAGCTTGCATCCCACAAGTCAAGAAATAAGAACAAGCGAACAACTTTTTTCCGGGAAGACTAACACGTATGACTTATAAGAAAGATTAATAGTTAAGTACCTTTCTAGATCACTCAGTTTAGCCTCAGCCTCCAACAAAGTTGGATCCTTATCATCAAGCAATGAAGCTGCATTTTTTAAGACCAACCTGAATGTGCAAACCTGCAGGTTGAAATAAGCTTGCAATTTATTCTCCTTCCATGTTTTCTGTTGCTCTTCTTATTTCCCAATTACTTTGTTGTAAAACTATATTATACAGTTCAACGTTCTTATCTAGCACTAGGACCCTAGGAGGTTAATTGGCAAAGCCATTCCCTTATGATGCAACTGGACGGTCATGGGTTTGAGCAACAGAAACAACCACTTTGCAAAATGCAATAGAACAACTTTATATAAGGATTTCCATGCTGAAATTTCGCAAACCCGAGGAGCCTTAGTGCAATTGTGGCCTTTTGCATAGTGTTGAGCAAGCCTAGATATGCATATAATTAATGATCTCAAGGAATTAGCATTTAGCACGCAGAAAAAAATGAAGATAAATTTCTTTTAGAAATGGCTGACTAATGGAATCAGTTTTCATAAGAAATTCAATCCATCAGCATCATTCAAACCTACATACTCCAGAAAATATATCATCATCGTTTAATACCTAATCGACAACATACTCCCCATCAAAACTAGAGATAACAACACAGAGAGATCAACTAATTCAAATCTTGTTACAGATGAAGGAATTAGGAAAGAGAGAAAAACCTCAACGCCAGTTTTAGACTGAAAAGTAACAATAGAATTCCTCTCCTGAGGAATACAATCCCTAGCAGCCGATGCAAGCAGTCTTTGAACCTCTTCCAAGTCTTTTTCGGGTGAAGTTCCACTACCTGCTGCAAATCACATCAATCAAATTCAGAAGAAATTCAACTTCAATCTAATCAATAACGAAAAAATTAACCAGCAGGCAGTTCATTATTCTGCTAATGAGCGTATTTAAACAGTACTGATTAAGAGATATGCAGCTTGGAGGCTATTGCGAGAGGCATCAATCGGAGCCAACAAATACTTGGACGCCTTCTTCTTTTGTTCTCTCAGCCAATCCTTTGGTCCTGCTGTAAGAATGCCACACATCACATCACATCACATCACATTAATAAGTAGACACTTTTGATCCCAAAAGCAAAAACTGATTGAAGAATTGAGAAGAGACCATGAATTATGGTTTACGTACAAATGCCGAACGAGAATGCTGTAGCGAGTGGAGGTTGAGAGAAGGAAGGGATGAGTGAGGCTATGGATGTTAGAATGACGCCGGTGGCAGCCTCTCTGCGGGTGGTCGGAATGAGGTTGAGAAGAGAGGAGGATTGAGGAGGTGGTTGATAATGATTGGAGTCTGAAGGTGGTGACGGTTTCGGAGCCTTTGGCGGGAATAGGGCGGTGAGAATGATTGGATTTGGGGAGGGGATAAGGGTGGAAATCGGCGGTGGCGACATTTTTGATGGTGGTGTGGTGTTGTGTTATAAAATATGAAATTATGGAAATCGAGGATTGTGATTAAAATCACATATTATTTAAATATTTTTTAAAATTATATGTAACGTTGATATTAGATTCTGGTTTTGGTTTTTTGTGTTGTTTTGAAAACTATATTTACTCGCCCACAAATTTTGTTTATTTAAAATAAAGAAAAAGAAATCCTTTATGATGTGTTTTTGTTTTGTTCGAGTCCCTTCGTCCGCCCTCTCTCTTAAAGTCATCAGTAGGAATGGCAATGGGCCGGGTTCGGAACGGTTTTTAGAGTCTCCGTCCTCGAAATCGATAATCATAACCATCCCCGTAACCGTCTCGATCTCCGTCGAGGATCTTATCGGGGATCCCCATCAGGTCCCCGCGGTTTCCCCTGCCCCCACACGATTATCCCGAGGAAGGTAATCAAAAAAGAAAGAAGAGGAGTTTTCTAGATTGGAATCCCTAGATCCCCGTTGGGGAACCCGTTCATAGTAGAATAACGTTACCCATTGGTTTTACCCGAACCCGAATCTGAAAAAACATAGATTTATCAAGCAAAAAATTGGAATTTTGCACGAGTTAAGAAGCATGATCAAACCTGTTTGGTTGTTTATCGGACAACTCGTTATCGAACAAAAACATAGTCAAATAAACCTTGAGAAAAAAGGATGACCATAATATTCAATACATGATCAAACAATGATCGAACAAAAACGTCTTAAAGTACAATCTCAAAATAAACTACAGTTTAGACATAATCCAACAAACTCGAAAGACAATTAGATATATATTCTAGATTACTAACTTCAAACCGGGAACTCCCAAACGGCCAAACTCGTCAACCCAAGCTTTCACTTTCCTTAGTTTCCTATAAAATAAAATGTATATAAAAGACTAAATAAATAAATATACCATAATCATTGTCAATAGTATTGTAATTGTAGTTACCTCTTCCACGTCATAATCATACTCAATATTACCGCAATATGTTTTGGTCTCATCAGAACAAGTTTCTATAAAGAACACAATAAATAAATAAAATGATTGAAATATTAAATATATAACTAAAAATAATTTATAATTAAAAACAAATATAAGGTTACCTCGTATTTCATTCAATAGCCAACTTTGAGCACACATTAGAGYCTCCAATGTTTTTGGATGAAGTCGACTACGATGTGGAGTTACCAATCTTCCACCGGTACTAAATGCAGATTCCGAGGCAACAGTAGAAATGGGAACAGCTAATATGTCTCTAGCCATCCTTTGAAGTGTTGGGTATTTAAACCCATTTGTCTTCCATCAAAGTAGCAAATCAAGTTCCATGTCTTTAGGCAAAAGTTTCTCTTTCAAATAATTATCCAATTCTGTTGTAATACCTGAATCATCATGCTGGTTGGCAATTGAAGCAATATTTGATAAGAGTTTTTTAAATTCAACCCGATGACTTGTTGAAGACCCTGAACTTAAAGAAGACGGACCACTAACACCTTCGCTGTTGTTTCTTACGCCAGAATCATTAAACTCATATTCTTGAAACAAAGTGTAGACCAATTCTTTGAGCTTCTCAAGTTCAATCGCCGATTTGTCTTGTCCGTACAACACGGGAAAAAGCAATTCCACAAACTTCAATTTATACCGAGGATTTAAAACCGCTACCATTCCCATAATCCCATGTATAACAGACCAATACTTATCAAACTTCAAAAACATCTTTTTAGCCATGTTTCTAATAACTTCACTAGGAGAACATGACCAATCGGCCAAAGAATGTCTAATTTCACATATCGATGGAAAAAAATACATTTGTAGTGGGATACTTTGAACTAGAAAACATTACTGTTACCTAAGATTGTCAAAAAAATAAAAACTAAAGTTACCTCATATCAACAAAACAAAAGTAAAGTTTAAATACAAATTAGAATTACCTCATAAAATAATTGCAATCTATCACAAATCTCTTTAGCAAACTCCCAATCCCATTGCGTTGGCAAACTTTTATCTTGAGACTCTCGTTGATGTAAGCGTTGAAAGACATCTTTGTAAACTATAGCAACATTAATCATCAAATAAGTAGAGTTCCATCGAGTCTTACAATCAAGTGCCAATTTCTTGGTGGATGATATTCCCAATTGGCGAGTTGTTTCCTCAAACTGTTGATCTCTTTTTGGCAATGCAGTCCAAAAGGCCACAATATCTCTAATCCTTTCAATCCCTTCCCCAAGAACATCCAGTCCATCTTGAACTATCAAATTGAGAACATGTGCACAACTTTGCATGTGGAACAACCTCTCACCCATCATAAGTGAACTCATAGGAAGCTTGTCCAACAATATGTTGATTATTGCATCATTTGTGGTGCAATTATGAACAGTTAGTGTGGACAGTTTCCTATAAAGATTCCAATCAAATAAACAATCATAAAGTACATCCGCAAGAACTTCGGGTGTATGTGGACAAGGTACATAAATAAACCTCATGATCCGACTTCGTATATTCCAATTTTAATCAACAAAGTGAGCAGTGACCGCCATAAATCCCTTTTTTTATTGTTAGTCGTCCACATATCAGTCGTAATTGCTATCCAACTAGTGTTCTTCTCTAACATCTTCAATGTCTTTTGTCTTTCAAAATCATAAATCTTTAGTATGTCACTTTAATGGTGTTTCGAGACGGAACCTTAAACAAAAGTTGAAGACCCCCACAATTTTTCTGAACCCATGATGTTCTACTATTGAAAGTGGATACTCGTGTATGATTATCATCTCCATCAAGATTTCTTCTTGATTTATCCACATTAAAAGTATAATTAGAAACATAAAGTTGTAGAGAAGTAAAGTTATAGATGTCTCTGTATTGTTTGTTGTTTATTATTTTGTATAATTTGTGTTCTCTTTGATCTCCTATTTTCTTGTGTTTTTGTTTATCCATGCAAAAAACAGAGTACCTTCTTGCTTTAGGCATCAAACTAAATTATCCTAAGTTGTTGACTTTGTTTGGATGACACGATTTCAAGGAAGTTTTTAGTATTTACTTGTAGTTGGATTGATAATCATGCAAGTGATTATTCATTTATATATGTTTGGCCTAAATTATCGTAAGTTTCTATGTCTATGTATTTAATATGTTTTAATATTATTGGTTTATTTCAATTGTTATATTTTGTTTTAGAAGTGTGTTTTATTTTTAATCTCTTAATTTTTCATCTATGACAGATCTTACACAGAAGGTCTTTTGGTCTATCGTGTGAAAAAAATCATTTGAGTCCAAACATTGATTCTTTTTGGTTTTGAAATGAATGAAATTTGATCTTGTTGCCCTCACGTTTGGTTACTTATAAACATGTTGAAATATTGATGATGGGACCATGAACTTAATAATGATAATTTGAACTCAACATGGTACCCTTACTTGGTTGATGTACAGATGATTTAGGTGAGGTGGATAAAATTATGGACTTAAACCATCACAACATGAAAGATCCAGTGTGCAACCACAAGGGTGGTGCCTGATTGGTTTGAGCTTGACTCTAAAGGTCAAAAGTACAAGGAGGTCTTAGGTTCAAATCCAATGAAGAATAAAAATCCCCTTGTAGCCACGAATGTTCAAATGCGGTGACTCCGGGTTATTTGCAAAGCAGGTGGTCGTCCTGAGATTAGTTGGCTCGCATAACAGGTTGGATATCCCGGTTAATCAAAAAAAAAAAAAAAATCCAGTGTGCACTCATGCAGGGTTGATTGAAGAATTGACTTTTTGGCATGTTTCTTCAAACTGGTAGAAACAAATCAGTCAATACTTCAAGTGGTTTTGCGAAGTGTTCAATTATATTACACATTTGTTGCACTTGTATTTCTGTAACACCTACATTCAAATGTCTACATATTATGGAGTATGGACACACGTACCATGCATCTAACAAGCTTTGACATGTAAGGAAATATGTTATTGTTAGATTCCATGTTGTTGAACTTGTATAATTTTTCCTCTAAATATGTTAGAACCTCATTTCTCTCTTTAAGACTTTTTTTATAAAGTAATTTTATGGGTTTTACATGTTCCCACAGTTTTTTTTACATCAATAGCACCATTTTTCTTGTATTTATTTTTATTTTTTCGTAAAATATTTACTTCCCGTCGCATTGCGCGAGTACACAACTAATTAATTAATTAAAACGTTAACAATACAATTATAAAAATTAAAAATAATTTTATAGTTATTTGAATTAATTCAGAAATAGTTATTTGACAAAAAATTATTATAGAATATAAATTTAGAAAAATAAAATTAGAAAATAATGTTGAAAAAAGTTATAAAACATACATTTATAAGACATAAATTTTTAAAAAAAAATTAAGAGAAAAGTCCAATAAAACCCAATGGACTTTAATGTTTAGAATGATCAAGTACTTGGACAATTTTTTGGAATAAATAAATACTTAGACATTCCAAAACTTGTTACATAACTTCTTGAACTTTCTAAAACCTGTTAAATAGATCTTGATTCTTTAAAAAAATAATTTGTAACCTGAATAGGAGGTAAACCTAGATAAAAATAAAAATAAAAACCTTAAAACTATCCTAAAACCACCTCCCCCGTCTCCCTGGCTTAACATCGCCCTACACCACCGTTCCGTCCCCAGCTGCCGTGCCACCTCCATTTGATCGGATCTAAGGTTCTTGATCGAGTTTCGGAAGGTTTTGTTTGTGTGTTTTGATTGATCAATCGATGACGATTGATGTAAGGTTGGCTGATATGAGCAAGAGTATAAGGAAGAAGAAATGTTGCCGGAAGACCAGTAGCTAGAGGAAGCGGTCTCTGCCGTCTCCGACGATTTCGTTTCCGTTGCAGAGGCCTTACATTTCTTGTCTAGATGTGTTCAAAGGCGTCAGAACCGTTCCATCTCCTACCGACATGCAGAAGCTTTGCCATATTCTCGGTGAGCGATTTGTGTTTTGAGTTTTATTTACGGCATATGTTCGTTGCTAATTATATGTAAAAAGCCATTGCTGACATCGTATTTGATCACATAATTGTTGCCATATTCGGATAATCGTCTAAAAATAGAACATCAGAGTAGTCGCAACTAGCGCACATGTAGGAGGTTCCTGTTTTTTTGTCTATAAACATCTTAGAACCAAATTTAATTTGATACATCACTTACATTAGTCGTAAAAATATAACCAAAAACTAGCAAATAGAAGACAATTTCTAGGATGTTTGTGGAGTAAAAACAGGAGCACACAGAGTTTGATCTCTATTATTGGGCAGATAACTGGATAGGTAAAAAAACGTAAAAGTGACCGTATGCATTTTAAATTGAAAGATGTATGCATCTCGAGTTAAATATGTGATTCTCTTGTCCAAAAAAACATTGTGTATGATGATCTGTAAGTAAATAATATTATTAAATTTTTCCGGTAAGTTTTTATGGGATAAATGTTTGGTAAACGACCCCTTTGTAGCTGTTAACCTCTTTGAAGGAGCTTGTTAATTCTTTGATATTGGGGGATTATGATCAACCATTAAGTCACAGAAAAGTAAGAGGCCGTTTACTTAAACACTTACCCGGTAAGCACTTACCGGTAAATTTCATTATTATCGCTTACTTACCGGATAAGATTTTATTCACTAAAACGCATCGTATGCAACAATTTATCCTGGTAAGCGCTAACTATGGTAAGAGTTCTCGATCTCACTTACCGGGTAAGACTCTCGATTATTGACTTCACTCTTACCGGGTAAGATTTTTAGTTCTTGTCATATTCATCCGGTAAAGTAAAGTGACTTGGTAAGCGCTTACCCAGGTAAGCATTTGGTAAACGGCACCTAATATCCCACTAATTATTGTGCTACATGTTCAAAGCTGTAATTTTTGGTCAAAATAGCTCTCAATAGCATGACCTCCATGGCATGGCATCTTTTGGTTGTTAAAGATATACACATCCTTTTTCATCTAGCTTGTTTTGTGTAGTTTATTTATATCGTGAATGTTCTAGAATATGTGCATGTTTTATCAACGAGAGCAACTTGCCAACTTGTTGCAGATAGAATGATGCCGGAAGATGTTGGACTAAGTAGGAATCTTCAATTCTTCAAGCCCAAAAGTAACATAGGGGTAACTTCAAAAGTCGAATCAAAAAGTCGCATGTACAACCATATACCAGTGTGAGGAATTCTTGGTAAGCTCTTATGACCCACTTGGTTTTACAGAAGGTTTTCTAGGGATTTGGATTTCATGGAGGAATTTGAAATTGGAAGGATTTGGAATCTTTGGTGTGCTTGATTTGTAGGATTTGTAATGGAATTTATAAAAATAATTAATTATCTTTTTATTAATTGATTATTACAAAATAAATGTTTTTAAAATATTTAACATGTTTTAGAAAGTCCAAAGAATTATTTAACAGATTTTGGAATGTCCAAGGAGTTATTTAACATATTTTGGAATGTCCAAGGAGTTATTTAACATATTTTGGAATGTCCAAGGACTTTTTTATTCCAAAAAATCGTTCAAGGACTTAATCATTCCAAACACTAAAGTTCATTGGGTTTTATTAGACTTTTCCCATTTTTTAATTGAAGAAAGTTTATTAGTTAAGTTTAGAGAAAAGTACAAAAAAACCCAATGGACTTTACTGTTTGGAACGATTAAGTCATTGGATAATTTTTTGAAACAAATAAATGCTTGGACAACCTAGAATCTATTAAATAACTCCTTAGACTTTTTAAAACTTGTTAAATAGATCTTCATTCTCTAAAAATGTAACTTGTAACCTGGAGGAGGTAAACTTCAAATTAAAAAAAAACTAAAATAATCCTAAAAAAGTGATAGACTCTTCGTCTCCCATTACTCTCTGTCTCCCTCTTGTCTCCACACTATCATCTCCCTCTCATCTCCACACACCGTCGCTGCTTAACGCTCCCATGCCACCGTCTCCCTCTCGCCGGTCCCTGCTGCACCACCCCCGTCGCCGCTGCACCACCCCTGTAGTCGCCGCACCACCCCAGTTACCGCTCGTCGCCACCGCACCAACCCTGTCTCTGCTCGTCTCCATACACCACCGTCCTATTGTCGGTCGCTGTTGTTGCACCGTCCTTATCGCCGGTCCCGCTGCAATTTCAGGTTTGTTCCAACATAGTAGTATTACATGATCTCCATCTACTTGTTGCATCGGCTTTTGATTCCGCATTTGCAACGGTGGACGTAAGATGTAGTGTTCATCATCTTTCTTCTCTATCTGCTACGTAGTAACTCTCAGTTTATCTGTTAATGCAACAGGCATGTCATCTTGTGCTGTTAGTTCCACTAGTAAATTGGAAATTGGCAAGAATATATATTGAAATGATTTAAATTCACATATCCTTGTATAATATCAACTACTGTTACAAGCATGCTCGCTCTGCATAAAAGCAAATTTCACTAAAAATTGCAATGACAATAATACCACAAATGCAAAAATGATATTACACCATGATAACAATTTGACAATGAGTATATAAAACTTAAAGATCTTGTTAATATTAAAACTCAGCTAGAGACCCTTTAATTATGTATCAATGATTTTACAATTTGACTCAAATATTAAGGGGTCGTTTACCAAACGCTTATCTGGGTAAGCGTTTATCAAGTTACGTTACCTCACCGGACGTATACGATAAGGACCAAGAATCTTATCCGGTAAGAGCGAGACAAGGATCAAGAGTCATACCCGTAAAGTGAGGACGACGACTCTTACCACGGTAAGCGCTTACCGGGTAATTGTTGCATAGGATGTCGTTTTGGTGGACTAAGATCTTACCCAATAAGTAAATAATAGTGTTAGATTTACCATTAAGCACTTACCGGGTAAGTGTTTGGTAAAGAAAGAACGATAAAATAACATGAAGTCACTAGGCATAGCATTGCTATGTGCAGGTCTTTGTAAGAATAAATCCAACTACAGTTTGATTTTATTGCAAGATGTTAATTGTGACCGGTTCTACTCTACATTAGAAGTGCTTTGTTCTTTGTGATATATAAACACAATATATTTCATCTTTAGGATAAGTGTTTTAATAAACGCCCCTTAAGTGTGTTTTTTTCCATCTGTGAATTTGTAACATCATTTTATGTCATCATTTCTAGAGTATGATAGGTTTTGTTTTCATTGGTGAATCGTGATGAAATCGTTATTCTTGTTTACAGAATGATATCTGATTGCGATGGTGATTATAGTGATCATCATAGCTATGAAATAAACGATAATTCAAGTGAACATATGTAAGATTCTTTATCTTTAGACCTTGAAGATGAGGATGGTATGATCAACTTAAATAAAACAGTTGATGATCAATTTTTAAATAAGCTTTGTATTGTAAACACGATTGACAATATTGAGTTTAATGTGGATGAAGATGATGATAATGTTGGAGATCATGCTATACAAAAAGGTGTTCAATACCCGATACATGATCCTAATATTCCTTGGAAGCTGATGAAGCCCATACTTGGTGAGAGGTATGAGAATCCTAGTCAATTAAAGTAGTGTTTGACTAACTATGTGGTTGCAAATTGCAACCAGCTAGACTATGTGAAAAATGATTCAGAAAGACTATTTGTTACATACGGAAAAGGTAAAAAAGATCACACATGTCCTTTTAGATTATGGGCATCTTGGATGCAAGAAGAAAAGTCGTTTCAAATTAAAAGCATTAACTGTAAGCACATATGTAGTAGAGACTATAGTTTTGGATCCCTAGTGACATCAAATTGGATTGCAAAGCATTATGTTAGAGAACTTATTGAAAGACTGTTCATAAAAATCAAGGATATGCAAGATGATATTTTGAAAAAGTTTATGGTCAAAGTTAGCAAGGGCCAATGCATCCGAGCCAAGTCCAGGGCACTTATTGAAGTTGAAAGTTCTTTGACTGAACACTATGAAAAACTTTGGGATCATGGACATGAAATTAAGAGAGCCAATCCAGGATCTATAGTTAAGATGGACGTAAATTTAATGGCAGATAGAAGCAATAAATTTAGGAGATTTTATGTATGCTTCAAAGCACTAAGAGATAGGTGGATTAGTGGATGCCAGAAGGTTATAGGACTAGATGGTTGTTTTTTGAAGGGGGTGTGCAAAGCAGAGTTAATATCAGCTATTGGTCGAGAAGGAAATAATCAGATCTACCCTTTAGGTATGTACATCCAAACTATGCTTCTTATATTAATATCAAGTCTAATTATCTGTTTAACCACTTACAATGTTGAATGCTTATGTAGCTTGGGCTGTAGTAGACGTGGAGAACAAAGAGAATTGGAAGTGGTTCATTGAACTATTAATAGAAGATATTGGTGTTATCGTAGGAGCAGGGCTTACCATTATGTTTGATCAACACAAGGTATGAACTTTGTTAACATTAACTAGTGCATCACCCATTTTAACCACCTAACACTAAAAAATTCATAACTTTTCGCTCGGACCTCCGTTTTCAATGAGGTTTTCACATACGCGTTCGTAACAAGTTAATCTATAACATCCAATAAAAATATTCCAGAAAGACCTCCCAATAAAAACAATTTTACATATTTGTAGGTGTTATGCTTTCCTTTGCAATTTTGTCGATTTTGATTTTGAGTTCGGAATCTCGTAAAACTTTTCCGACACCTCTAACAACTCCTAATAGGTCCAAAACTTAGTTCCAAAGCATAAAATCCCATCAAACACCTCCCATTTGAGTGTTGTGCGCGTAGTTTACCGAATTAACAACATAATTTGTAAAACTTGCACAAAATGCAATCTACACGACTTTTTTGACTTTCATCACTTCTAATACTTCATATTAACTTATTCAAAGGTGTTCCAACCTTTACATCGCCATTTAGATCATCCGTTTAAGTTTTGGATAGATTTTTCCCATTTAGACACTCTAGTTACCTACCCGATTTCCCATTTAGGCACTCTAGTGACCTCATACATCTTATTCTAACTATGTTTTCCTTTGCAAATTTATGCAATAGGGCATTGTTGAAGCTATAAAAGAGTTGGCATCGTATGCAGAACATAGGCAATGTGCAAGACACATATATGCTAATTTCTATAAAAAATTTGATGGTGTTGAATACAGAAACATTTTTTGGGCAATAGCTACATCCACTTTTGAGGCAGATTTCATGTCACACATGGAAAAGTTGAAGATACAAAACCTTGATGCATATAATCACTTGATTGAAAGGGACCCTAATACATGGTGTAGGGCATTTTTCCAACCCCGTAGAGCTTGTGAAGCTGTAGAAAATGGGATTTGTGAGTCATTTAATTCAATAATTGTTGATGCAAGAAGAAAACCCATAATCACAATGTTAGAGGAGATAAGAGTATTTGTTATGGAGAGACATTACAGAATGTTAAGCAAAGCACAACAATGGGAATCAATTGTTTGTCTGTCCATAAGGAAAAAGTTAAAGAAATGGGTAGAAAATCACAAGTATGCTTATCTATGATGGTAATTTTATTAGATATGCTTGTTTATGATGGTAATATGATCTTGTATGCTAATATATTCTTTTTCATACGTAGATATTGGTATGTTATCCCTAATGGTGGGAATGTGTTTGAAACACGAAATGGTTATGAAGCAATAGTGGTAGACTTAGATGCTAGAAAATGTAGTTGTAGATTGTGGGACATATCAGGCATTCCTTGTGTGCATTCCATTGCTGCCATACACTTTATCAATAAGGATCTAGAGGATTATGTTAGTAAATGGTTTACTAAGGATCTCTTCAAAATGACCTATGAGAATACTATAAGACCATTGAATGGGAGCAACATGCGGACTCCAACACCTTACCTCAAACCAAACCCACCTAAGGAAAGGAGAATGCCTGGTAGACCATCCATCAAAAGAAAAAGATCAGAATCTGAGAGCCAAGGTACAAGGGTGACTCAATCTGGGAAGACAATGACATGTAGCAATTGCTTGAAAACAGGACATAATGCTAGGACTTGTAAGAATGAAAAGAAGAACCCACCATCCAAACTTGTTAAGCCAAAAGGTAGACCAAACCTCAACATTCCAAAACCGACTATAACAAGAAGATCCAATAGAGGTGAAAAAGGCAATAGAGGTGGGAGGATACCATCATATGCAGGGGTCTCTTATAATCCAGTCACAGGAGAAGCAATGATTGGGATAAGCCATTATTTGTTTTTCAGATTCAAATAATTACTATTGCTAACACTTTATCTTCATCATTGAAGACATCGTCAGGTGTTCTACAACCAGCATGGCCCAAAGGCATCCTACCATATTCAATTTCAAGAGAGGCTGTTGTTAATGATGAAGACCGTGGTGAAGGTGATACTACTATTGGTGATGAAGAATATTATGAAAGTGATGATGTTGTTAAACATCAAGAAGGGTTACAAGAAAGTCAAATGGTTATATCTCCACCAGACATTAATGATGCAAATGAAGAATAGTTCATACCATGATCTTAACATAGATTAGACATCAGTTTAGTATATTTTAGCGCAACTTTTGGTATATTTTGGCGCAACTTTTGGTATATTTTGGCGCAACTTTTGGTATATTTTGGCGCAACTTTTGGTATATTTTGGCGCAACTTTTGGTATATTTGGTGCAATTTTTGGTATTTTTAGTGCAACTTTTGGTATATTTGGCGCAATTATTATTATTTTTTGGTGCAACTTTTGTTACATAGTTTGGTTCAACTTTTGTTACATAGTTTGGTTCAACTTTTGGTATATATTTTGGTTTAACATTTGATAAAATTATGCATAAATTTTGTATGCAGATTATTATGTTTTGTATACAACTTTTATATGTTTTGTGAAAAGTAATGAGAATGATATATTTGTTTTTTTATAAATGTAAGTACCCTTTTCGTTCAAAAATTGTCTAAGGACTTGATCATTCAAAATATGAAAGTCCATTGGGTTTTTTTCGGATTTTTTCCACAAACAGAATGTATTTAACAAATTTTGGAAAGTCCAATGAATTATTTAATAAGTTTTGTAATGTTAAATGACTTACTTAACAGATTCTAGAATGTTCAAGGATTTATTTGTTCCAAAAAATTGTATAAAGACTTAATCATTTCAATCAATAAAGTTCATTAAAATTTTTTGGATTTTTCCCTTAATTTTAACCTAAAAAATAAGGGTACACTTTACCTTCCCAATAGTTATTTATTAGTTGCATATATGATATATCGCCACCCTAAAATAATTATTTTAAAATTCCAAGTTTCAAACGGTTCTTTCTGAATTTCAAAATACTCCTCGAACCCTTCTCGTCATTGCGTTTATGCCGTTTGAAAACCACTGTCATTTGAAAATACCTACCTCAATCCATCTTCATTCCACATTTTGATTTCAAGAACAGCTTCATCACCTTCGTTGTGCAACAATGGATGACAACAAAGATATTCAGCTGAAGAAAATACCGGCATTCACTGTACTGAAAAACGGTTCCATTCTCAAGAACATCTTTCTTTTACGCAAGCCACCTCCCTTCTCCACCCAGGAATCTACAGTCGATTCATCGTCAATAAACCAAGAATACGATGAAGAAATCTTGCTTGTTGGACGACACCCACAGTGCAACATTACTCTGGAACACCCTAGTATCAGCAGATACCATCTCCGTATCCACTCAAATCCGTCTTCTCAAATGCTCTCCGTAATCGATCTATCTTCAGGTAAATTTCGACATTCATACCTCTATTAGCACTGTAAACGTGTCTACTATTTCAATTGTGATGGGTATATTAGATTGGGGAAAATGATTAATTATACATTTTTTTAAATCTTGGTTTTGTTAAAATTGTAGTTCACGGGACATGGGTATCTGGAAAGAGGATTGAATCAGGGGTTCCCGTGAAACTGAAAGACGGAGACACGGTGAGGATGGGTGGTTCAAGTAGGATTTACGAGCTTCATTGGGTTCCACTGAGCCAAGCTTATGATGTTGATGACCCCTTCATCCCTGCGGTCTATGCCTTCAAAACAAAGCAGGTGTCTATGAGTATTCTTATTGTTTTTATTTTACATTTCTCTGGAATTCAGGTTCACAGGCTGTTCGATGGAATGCCTCTTTTATGTTTGTTGTTTTTCCTGATTTATACAGGATGAGAATTGCTTGTGTCCATCTGATGATGATTTGGAGAGTTTGAATTTACAGAAATTGAACCCATTGACATCTCCTTACTGCTCAAATTTGTGTTCTGATGATACTGAGGTAGAACACTCTAGTCCATCTGACGGAAATGGTGAAATCTTTAGCACTTCCTTGGTTCAGCCTTCACCTGTTCTCTTTGAAACTATATCTGCAATTGAAGATTCCGACTGCCGAAACAAATTAGAAAATCAATCGAATTGGTCGGAGAACAAAATGAGTGACGAATTTGAGCAGCTCAGTAATGAGACCATCGATAAAGATCTGTTTTCTGTGCCAAACTGCTCAAGCTCATCTCGTGATGATATGGAGGTAGAACACTCAAGTCCATGGAAAACAGGCAATGAAAGTGGTGAAATCTTATCCGCCTTTCCAGTTCAGGCTCCACTTGTGGTCTCAGAAACTATATCTGCATCAGAAATTTCTGACACCAACTTAAACAAATCAGATCAATCGAGCATGAAGGATGATCTGGTTTCTGGGGCTTCTTTTGTCGCTATTATACAAGGAAAAGATGCTTTAGATCAAGACATAGCAAGCGACAATGAGATTGATGAAGGCAGTGAATATGAAACAGTAAATCAACAAAAAATTGAGAATAGTCCAGTTCCCATGGCCCTTTGCAGTGGTGTAAATAGAGATGAAAATGGGTTTTTTATGCCACTTAGAGCAGAAGGCGAGCATGTCAACATGGGCTGTGATTCTGAGCAGATGAATCAAACTAAAATGATGGATGGATCTGCTTTTGTGGTTCTTTTTGATGGTGTAGGCAGCAAGATGAACGATGATGTCATTTGCAAATCAATCATATCAAGAGAAGAGGTAGATATGGGTGTCAAACTTGAATTGTTTGATCAGGAGACACCAAAGAAAGATTCAGTTCTTGTGACTCTTCCTGATGGAATACACATGGATCAAGAACAAACTTTTACTCCAGATATATCAAGAACCAAAGAAGTCGATATAAATCTGGAGGCAATGCATAATGCATCAGTTTCCATGAATCTTTTTGACAGTTCAGATGGAAATGAATTGGAGATTTTTACTCCAGGCAAGGAGAATAACAATCCCAATGCTTGTTCTGTAAAATCTTTGAAACGAAGATGGAAGGAAGATGAACATGAGCAATCAACCCACTGCACAATGTCAAAGAAAGCTGTTAATCCTGCTGACAATGAGGAAAAAGACATTTTCGGGTTTTCAGAAAAATTGTTTACTACAGATGGAGAGAAGTTTGTCTGTGATACGTTTTTGCAGAGATCACCAGATACGATATTGTTTTCTTCTTTAGAAAAAGAGACCAAATCAAGAGCGATGAAAATGGAAGGAAGCTACAACTCCATCAACTACCCTCAAACCGTTCAAAAGGTCATCGATTCATCTCATGTAAGTTCGGTAGCATATTATGTCGCTATTGAGGTTTCTTACTTGGCTTTCTTGCAAACATGCTAAAAGAACACTACAGTTTGCAAAAGTAGTGATCTTGGACAAAAATGGCTAGTTTATAGGTCTTTTTTGCATATAAAATTAATCGAGAAATGTTCATGCTATCCATCTTTAGAACATCATGGGAGTGGCAAAGAAAAGATGGACCATGGTGGTGGACACTAACAGTCTTCTACACAATGAGTCTTTGAAGCATTTGAAACTTCTGCAAGGCCTCATAGGAACTCAACTTTTTGTTCCCAAAATCGGTAATAAGTCCTGGTTTCCGATATCTAAGTTGAACATAAAACATTATTCATTGTGGGCATAACTTTTCTAACATTTTTCTTTGGTGTTGATTAATATCAGTCATGAGGGAACTGATGGACATAAAGGGTCAAGATGATATCCCGAAAAAAAGTACAAAAAAGGTTTCTTTAGCTTTGAAATGGATTGACGAATGTATGGTGGATACAAAATGGTGGATTCACGTGGATGATGAAATCCTTCATTCATCAGAAGCAGAACTTGAAGTCCTTGAAACCGCCCTCCATTTATGTAAAAAAATTACAGATCGAAAGATTATCATTCTTAGCAATGATCTCACACTGAAGATCAAAGCCATGGCAGAAGTACGTCTCCTGAACCCCACCCACCATGAGTTTTAGTTGCAAAGATTAACCATATTCTCATTTTGGCAGGGAGTTAAGTGCGAAGCAGCAGAAGAATTTCGTAGGAGTCTTGTGAATCCATTTTCAGAGCGGTTTATGTGGGTTGGGAGCTCAGCCAGAGGACCAACTTGGTCCTTTATAGATGATGATATCCTGAGACAAAAATACCATGGATGCACTGTGAATGCTTCATACAGGTTGAAGGGTTTGAAGCTAGTGGCGAATTTCTGATGACTATATAGCTTTTAATTCTGCTTGTGTGAATCATTTTTTGTCCTCAAAACCATAAATCAATGCACCTTGTTTGGCTTCGGTTCATTTGAGTTTTTGTCGACGGTTTTTGCACCTTGTTTGGCTTGGGTTTGATGATATGGTGAATCACCTTGTGTGATCAAGCATGAATCTTAAACACCACCACCCATGTCGCATATTGAACGTTTTCCATTTCAAGGGGTATGTTGGTCATTTGTTATTATTTCATTCGGATTCCACCGTCACAACTCTTTATATTTCCACATGATTTATGGTACAAGAATAAGTAGGAATTTCAAAACAAGCTTTCACTTTTTGAAATTTACATTTGGACTTGAATGGATTATAACAACCACAACATCATCAACAACAAATGCATGCTTTCAGAAGCACAGAAATCTCAGAGCCATAAAAAATTAATATGAAATTTGGCCTCAAAACTACTTTTCTAAACAATCTTTACCTCACTCTTCTCTTCATCAAATCTCCCTTTATAAACTCAAACAGAATGAAGCTTATCCACATATAATCAAAGATTCTAGCCATCAAACCCCAGCATCTCATCATCGGTTTCCATCTTGCCGCTCCACATCGACGATATCCACGGGTTCGGGGAAAATCTCGCTCGACAATCTTTTATCATTCACGCCACTTCCCTGAGAATTCGACTGCTTCTGGCCATCTCTGTTGGTTTGGCTATGTGTGCTTCCTGAGAAGCTTTGCCGCCAGCTACCAAATAAAGCGGTACTCCAAGATCTTCTTGACGAATTATTTCTCAACCTTCCGGAACTGAAGTCTTCTTCCCTTACGACCCTAAAAGGGTTTTCAAGTGCTTTCAAAATATGAGTCATTTGTGGGCGTTTTGCGGGCTTCGGGTTTAGGCAAGACTTGGCTACTATGGCTACAGCCCACACTTCTTCTAACAAGTCTTCGTCTATGACTAGAGATTGGTCGACGATCTTGGAAACCAGTTCTTTGTCATAGTTGTTGATGCAAGCCAGAGTTCGGTCCAACCATTCCTTATCTTCGGATTTGCTGATTCCGAGTTTGCCGGTTACGAGCTCAAGTAAGACCTTTCCGAAACAGTATACATCATATGCACAAATGGGAGGTGATGATCCTGTTTGTTCCAAAATAGAAGCTACCAAAATGAGTTTCAACTTGATACGCTTTTCAGCGAATTGGTGTTCCAACAGGTCTACCGATAAGAGCTATATTCCACTTGTGAAACACTTTCTAACACGGTGTTGTCGAAACCTTTTTCTAAGAAAAAGAAAGGAACATGTCTATGAAAGTTTTTAAGAGGGAAATGGAAGGAATAGGAGGGAAAGAAAATCTGAAACATGTGTGTGATCTTTTATGACAAAAATGCCCTCGTAAGGGAAAATGAGAAAAACAAATATAACGGTATATTTGTAAAAATGATATATTTCCTTTCCTTTCCCTCCGGTCCAAAAACATGAAAAATTGTTTCTTCTTCATTTCTTCCCTTCCTTTTCTTCCCAAATTCAAGAACACAGTGCAAGTCTTGAAATACTCATTTTTCTCCATCTTCATCATCATATATTATGTATGTATGTATGTATGTATTATATGTATGAATACACACACACATCATATAATATAAGCACATATTCGTTATCCAAAGGAAGCCGAAGCAATACAAAAATAACCGATATTAAGAAGATGTTCACGTACCAGAAGGAGTCGGTTCAGAGTTCCTGCACATCCAAGAAACAAAAAGATGAAATGAGATAACATGTGTTTAAAAAAGATCGAGACAAGTCGAACACTTCTGTTAAGCTGTTTCAATCAAACATTAAATTGTTTTGGAACAAGAAATGATTCTTACGATGAAATCCGCAGCAGCCTCGTGATAACATTCTGGTTGTTATCCACTTCTTGAGTACAAACTTCACTCAAACTTCCAAGCCGTACATCATATTTATCATCGAGTAGAATACTGCTTGCTTGAATATCTCTATAAATCAAAGATTAAAGAAAATAAATGTCCCAAATTCTCCACAGCCAGCAAGTATGCAAATACTGTTGTATACAAATGTAGATAGCATTAACAACTGAGAGTTAAATTCTTAAATACCTGTGAACCATGGGGGGATTGCATTCATGATGCAAATAAGATAGCCCTTCTGCAGCTCCTATAGCAATCTTTAATCTTGTTATCCAATCTAAGGATTGCAAACCATCATCTTCCAAACTGGTAGACCTGTATAAGGAATTCGAGAGATCTCCATTTGGCATGAACTTGTAGACCAGAAGCTTCTCGGTTTCATGTTCTAAACAATGTCCCAAAAGAGGTACCAATCTCGTGTGCATACCCTTACTGAACAACTCCAGTTCTGACATATAACAATCTTTTCTTGAAGTCCGCATGTCAACTCGCTTGATAGTTACAGCAATTCCATCTTCTAATCTCCCCGAAAAGATGTCTCCACTGTGGCCATGCTTGATAAGGTTTGCATCACTGAAACCACTTGTAGCTTGCAGCATTTGCTCATATGTAAATGAGTCCACCAAGCTCGCTAAATTAACTGCAATATTTTGTGCATTGCCATTTCCTTCTTCTTGAACAGGTTCTACATTTGCAGATCTTTGGCTTACGTTTCTCTTATTACATGTTTTAGCTACCAAAACCAAGATTATAACTACGATTACAATGGCACCAAGTCCGCCAAAAACTCCCGCCAACACATATTTCAAACGATCGTTGCTCTTCTTTGGCGATGGAGGTTGCACTGGATTGGGAGTACCATCAAAAGGTAGACCCATCAGAGCATAGAACCTCCTGCAATCTTCCAAACTCCTTTGGTCTGCGAATCGAAGAAAGCAGTTTCCTGATAAGGAAGTTCCATTTCCAGCCTGGGATTCTAAACCCTGAAGATAGTTGTTAGATAGATCAATCGAACCAACAACTGTAGGCTTGAAACCCAGGCTTCCGTAGAACAGATTGTTTGAGAAGTTCAACGTGACACCAGAAGCATTGGGAAATGCTGAGAGGTCTGGAAGATTTCCTGTTAAGTTGTTACTGGATAAATCAAGAAGGACAATATCCGGCATGTTTGCTGTCAAATTGCCGGGAAAAGTACCACCGAGATCATTGTTTCCAATCAACAATCTCCTCAATCTTCTTAAACCTCCTAGTTCCGTTGGTAATGATCCAAACAATGAATTGGATCCAAGATCAAGGACAACCAACTGAGAAAGGTTTCCCAGCTGTGCAGGCACAGAAGAAGCAAGACTATTGCTGGAAAGATTCAAAGTCTGCAAACTCAAAAGAGAACCAAACTCAGGTGGAATTGGCCCAGATAAGAAATTTGAAGATAAATCAAGAAACGTGAGATTGCCGAGAGCTGAAAATGAAGAGGTTATGGACCCTGTCAACGTATTATGTGACAAATTTAGAACCGATAATGAAGAAAGCTGCCCCAAAGAATCAGGGATAATCCCGGTAAGAGAATTATTCGAAAGAACTAAGCGATTAAGTTGATTCAAAGAACCAATTGACGGAGGAATTGGACCTAAAACTGAGCTAGACGTAAGGTCGAGCACCTGGAGTGCACCAAGATTTTGTCCCAACCAGTCAGGTATGGACCCTCGAAGAGGAAATCCAGAAGAAATAAACGAAACCAATTGAGTACAATTTACCAAAGAATCAATAGCAAACCCAGGATTAAGAAGCCCAGAACGAGTGCGCCGCAAACCAGACAAATTTATCCCGATGACCCGGCCGTTCCGGCACTCCAGCCCTGTCCAGTTGGTACAGGGGTCAGATTTCCTGGGCCAGTACCTGGCTCTTATTCCTAAAGAAGCTCGTAGATCCAACAACGCCGCCCGTTCCACCCCGGAACTCAGTGGCACCCGCCTCACGTCCACCTGAGTCAACACCGAGTTAACCAGCAACAACAAGAAGAAACTGAAATGGAATATTACCTTCAACAGAGTCTCCATGATTAAACAACAATACCCTTCCCCCTTATACCCCAGAAAGGTCTTGATCCATTTCAACTGTTGCACCTGTTGAAGCCTAATCCCTGTGCAAGGAAATCCCAAAATTTGCAGCCCTACAAAACTGACACTGTTCCCTGTACACGAGGACCCTCCTACAGTTTGACGATCTAAAAACAAGGGCCATCCATCATACAACAATAATTACACGACGATTGCTGTGATGGAGATATCCGTGCAGATTATAATACCCATTGCTCCTCCGTGTGTAATTCAGCAGCAAAAAAGAAACCCTCTTTGAGTTAATTAAATGCAAGTAACAAAGAAAGCACGATTTCACTACTATTAACAAGTGCACTTTCTGTATATTTATCTATATCTATAATATAGCAGTGGGTATTGGATATTTCTTGTTTGTGATACGAGAGAGCTTTAATGGTGGCGCATTAAAGGAAGCGCCATATTCTCAACAACAAAGGTGAAGAACAATAAATGGGGGTGGGAAAACCTCAAGACTCAGGGAAACACACACAGTTTACTATGTGTATGAGTGTGTGAGAGAAGAGAGATATACATATATAATTTATATCTATAAAAAGAGAGAGAAAGTTGCTGGCTTTTCTGTTTAGATGACTCGTTGACTGAAGAATGAACGAAGGAAGGAAGGAGGGAAGAAAGTGAAGCCTTTTTTTCACTGTTGGAATGGTGCTTCATTTGGTTGTACTTTTTTTATCTTTGTTTTTATATGTAATGATTAAGGGTTTGATGCATCACTTGATACTAAAAAAGTTTATACTAATAAAACATGCATTGTTTAATTGTACCTTTTTGGATGTTTCTTTTTGTGGGCATTAAACTATAAGCATATTACATGCATTATTTACTTGTACTTTTGTTTTATGTGTACTCAATAACGAGACCACAACCGGATATGCATTGCTTAGTTGTATTATACGGATATTTTCTTTTAATGGTAGTAGAAAGTAATTACAACGGGTGTTAGTTTTTGTTACGTTTGACGAACTACTGGATATCTTTGGTGCTAATGAATCTGTAATAAACTAGATTAAAATGAAAATGTAACTCGATATATTAAAAAATTTGTTCTAACAAGAGGTATGATTGGAAAAAAAAGTCGAAAAAAACCCTTAAAACAGTTGTCTAAAAAGTTAAAAGTTAGTATAATGGTTTACTAAACATAATTGATAAAGCATGCTATCTTATCGTTGGTAAATATGACCTTTACTTAGATAATTGTCATTGATTCAATATGTATGTGGGTATATGAGACTTGGAGGAACCGTACGGGACAAAAACTTACTGTTTCGTATTTGGCACAATATGAGACAAAATAAAAACTCATTGTTCTACTTCTGGGGCAACATGGAACGAGGACAAGACAAGGAGTGGGTGGAGTGGGTGGATTGTATGGAACAAAAAAGATTAAATTTTTTGTTAATAGGTGGAATAAGATGGACAAAACTGAAAATTTGTCAATCTACTCTCATTTTTTTTATTTAACCATAATATAGTATTTACTTTAATGGTTATCACCACCGACTGCTGCCACCACCAACACCAGTGGTGGCCACCGTCGGCCACTAGGAACCACCTCCACCACCATCAATTACCACTATCATCGCCTACCACGTCCTCTACCTCATCCACAAACACCATCTCCTGATCAACCACTATCGGCCTCCACCAACATTCGTCCTCCACAACCACCACCTCCACCATCACCATTGGCCACCACCGCCCATCACTATCACCACCACCATCGAGGGACAACTCCACCACCACTTCCACCACCATCGAGGGGAGAGCATTGGATGGGTTTGGGTGGAGAGGGGTAAAACCTGATCAAGTTTCGAGGTTGGGTAGAGAGGCCCGACCATCATGTTTTCAGGCTGTGATTTCTTCGAGTTCGGATGATTATCGGGTAGGATGTATTTGAGCGAGTTTGAGTGGCTAGTACTAAAAAAAATATATAACCAAGGATTTTACTGAAAAAGGTTTACCCATAAAATGTTTAAAATGTATACCTGAAAATATGCAATTCATGAGGAGTTAGTTGTCAAGAAATTTATGTAATTGTATGCTTATGTAACTTTGTAAGTACAACCCTCTTAATCTATTATGCAACATGGATTTATAAAAAAGAAAAGCATTTTGAAACCCAATGCATGATGGATTGTGTAACTTGTAACATTTAACATTATGATGATGCATGGATTTATAATTCCTATCTACCACCCTACCATCGTCCGTCTCTCTCTCCCCTCTCTCACTTAAGGAATCGTCAAATTCAATCGTCTCCTACTCTATTCTGATCTACTCTCCAGCATACCCATTACCATTATTGTTGAATGTCGATGACTGTATGTGCCTTAAGTCGGTAAGTACGTAACCTAATGGCTAAATTGACTCACATTGATGATGGAACTTAGTTTAGATAGGCCTTAGGAATTTCAGGTTTTCGGGTGGAGGGTATGCAAACCCAACTCGAAACCTACAATCCTACTTAAATTTCAGTTTTCAGTTTTACCCACAAAAATCAGTTCGGGTTGAATGGGTTCGTCCGGTTTATATGATTTTTACCATCGACTATCACTACTACCATCCATGCCACCTCTATCTCCACCGCATATGCCACCACCACCACCACAACCACCACCACTGTCTACCATCTCCACGTCATCCACAACCACTTCCAGTCATCGACCATTGTTGCCTCCACTTCCAACACCACCACTACCATTGTCGCCAACAACCTCCCCTTGCCTTTGCCACAATCACCGCTTCCACTTCCACCACAACTAGTAACCACCATATTAATCATTAAACAAAATTTATAGACAACTTGTCTAGCCTACTCCTAGTCATGCCATACATCAAACAAACAACTTGTAATGTCTAGTCATATCTGTGTACCAACTTGCAAATGGGTTTGTTACTTAATAGGCAACCCCTGAGTTGACCTCCATCGCCCTGTCCTGAAAGCATCATATCAAAGACAAATTAATAGGTACATAACGACTTGCTAGATAGGATGACTTGAAATCCCAATGCTCACAAGGAGCTCAATCCACAAAAAATGTAACTCCCATATTGCGGTTATCAAGCCTCAAATATTTGCAATGTTTGTGCAAGTATACCACCTCAACCTTGTTATGCTTTAGAGGTAGATGCTAGTAGTTTTTGGGCATTTGGTATCTAATGAAGTCTTTGTATTTAATAATTATCGATTTATGTCTAGATAATGACAAGAGAAATAATGGTTCTCTATAAGAAAAATATGGTTGTTGGTTTAGGTGTAAGTGACAAGAGACTTAGGGGGCATTTGGTTCGTAGATTCTGAATGAATGTAATGGAATTGGAATGTTGAATTTCATTGACCAAATTTCATTCCCTCGTTAGGTTCATTCTTTTTTTATGAAAAGAATATTCAAAATCCTAGAAATTTCACAAATAAAGAAATTTGACATTCCTTAGCAACTACATGGTATATTGATGGAATGAAATTCTCTATTTCCATAATACCAAATATGCCCTTAACCCAATATACCCTAATCCCATAAAACCCAATATGACAATCGCAAACCAGCTTCAACCACCGTCGATCTCAATCACCGTCGACCATCTGAACCACCGCCGACAACCATTGGTCTGAAACACCGCTGATCTGAACCACTGCCGACCACTACCGATCTGAACCACTGTCGACCACCATTGATCTAAACCACCACCGATCTAATCCATCGTCAATTTTGCACCATTCGATCACCGCCATCTGAACCATTGTCGACCACCGCCATCTAAACCACCACGGGTCACCATTTATCTGAACCACCGCCAAATACTATCGATCTGAAGCACCGTCGACCATCACCGATCTGAACAACCACTGATCTGATCCATCACCGATCTGAACCACCCCAATCTGAACCACAATTGATCTGAACCACATCCAACCACCACCACTTGAAGCATTATAGACCACCACCGATCCGAACCACCGCCGACTAGCATCGATCGGACACCGTCGACCACCAACAATTTGAACAACCATCAATCTGAACCACCGCCCCCACCACCGATCTAAACCACCGTCTATCTGAACCACTGCTGACGACCTCCATCTAAACCACCGCGGACCACCATTGATATGAACCACTGCCGACCACGGCTATCTGAACCAATGCGGACCACCATCAATTTGAACCACCGCCGACCACCGCCATCTGAACTAATGCATACCACCGTTGATTTAGTAATGTCCTTTGGCTTATGGTTATATTTGGGTTGTGTATTTTATATTGTTTTACATATTAAATAATTATTTTATGAAAGTATTTTTAGTTTTAAAAAAAATTAAAATTTTCAAAAAAAGACATTTTGGTCATTTACCAATATTTTATTCCAATTCCAAAGCTACATTCTGTAAATCAAACAGACAGATTCTAATTTCTTAACAAATTTCATTCCAATATCTACCAACAAAATAGGTGGTCAAACCTAACAATAATCCATTCAAATTCCTTCAAAGTCAAATTTCTTTTACAAATTCCATTTAATCCAAAAATATTAACGTCACCTTACATTTTATAAACCTAGTTGGTAAAAATCAAACAATATGTAAGAATAAAAAGCTAGCATTTTAAACAACTTGTAGCTCAATATTACATATGTTTAAGTTCTTTCATGAACTACATAACACTAGGGCTGTAAACGAACCGAACGTTCAGCGAACCGTTCGTGAACCGTTCGGCGGGAAGTTCGTTTATGTTCGTTTATTTAATAAATGAACGAACATGAACAAATTTTTTCGTTCGTTTAGTTAAACGAACGAACATGAACAAGAGTCTCGTTCGTTCATTTACGTTCGTGAACGTGCGTTCATTTATGTTC